ACATGAATGCCGAAGGTGCATGGCCGGGGCTGAGCATTGCCAGGACTCAAGTGTCTGCAACACTGCCGTAACGCCCTAAAGATATTACAAATCAGTTGCTTCACTAGCTGCCCAAAAGAGATGGCATGCCCATAGCGTGAGAGACTCCCAAGGGGAGGCACAAAAGCCAGACTGAGCCAAAGGGCCAAGGCGAAAACGGCAAAAGTGCGGCGAGATTGGGGACCGCATTTTGACACACGAGACTCACTCTTGGATTGCGGCACCTGCAGCGTTGGAAATAGTACATCTTTCCGTCTTGCCTTCCAAAAGTGTTTGCACCCAGAGTAACACAGTGAAAACTCCGCTCGATACCATGCAATCCTTGGCTCAATAAATAGGTGCGAATCGCCAGGACTCTAGTCGCATATCGGGGACAAAGTGAGAGAGAGGCCTTTCTGATCCGCAAAATTTGCGGGAACAAAGCCGCAAGCAGCGGCAAGCAGCTAGCTCAAGGGGAGTTACGGTGGCACAAAGCTTAGTCGACTGGTCCTGCGCTCTCAGGAAACAACTTATGAACGCAAATGCTATACCAGAAAGCGCTTCAATTGCAATCTCCTTCTCACAAACAGCGCGGAATTCTTTGTTCATCGGTACTTGAACCAACTCCAGCAAACCGTGAAGCAAGAATTTTCTTTCATTTTGTGTTCAGTGTGTCATGTTTGGCAATATGATTTGGTTTACTGCATGGGTCTCACCAAGTGAGCACAGCGACGTCCACAAAATCACCCTCTAAAAGAAATGCTAAGCCTGGGCTCAAAGGTTCGGCAATTGTTCTCATTCACTCAGACCGATGCCGTAGCGGCCACAGAAACGTCTCAAAAGGTTTAACTTGTTCCTCGCTGTAACTGGACATCTAGAGGGGCTGAGTGAGCTTCAGGTCTCCAGTGACCTTTTTTTTGGGCCTTCTCCAGTGAACTGCATTTTTACCAGCAAAGGCTTCGAAGAAGGTATTCGTTGCAAAGAGTCCAGAGGCGCCGTCAAACAAATTTTCAGGCTAGTGGCTTTACCACTGCCCTATGTTTGATTGTGCACTCCCCCAAAAAACTGTCAGGAGTCTGACCTTTTCACAAAAGGAAGGCCGCGAAAGGGAAACAAACCTTATTCGCAAAGAGCCGCAAATACGCTCCAACTCAAAGCGAATATGGACTTTCCATCAGCTAGCCAAAAAACAAAGTCTAGGGTCCAAGTCTCTCAATTAGCTTCCAAATTGTTTCCAGAGTTTTGGCCAAAGGGAACAGCAATGTTTGCTTGAGCTTGACCATTGACAATGAGTGCCAACAGTTGGCTTGCTGCAGGCCCAGGACAAACAACTGTTGTGCAAGGAAGTGCTGTGCGAATACACGCCATCCAGCTCCAACCGTCTGCTGAGATCTTTTCGGCATCCTCCATGCAGGTTGAGCACCTGACCAACACCTTGGAGGTCCCATATATGACTCGTGCTAGCGGATGAGGCTGCAGCGGCTTCACCCAAATTCTCAGTGTCAACCTCTCTCTCCGAGCACTTCCCCTCTCTTTCCGAACTTGGTCACTCCGTTCAAAAGTAGAAAGCCATCCCTTTCCACCCTTCTGAATACCTCGAGCAACATCAAGATCCTAGTCTGCAACAAGGGGTCCGACCAAGCAAAGGCACATCCACGTTTGATGAATCGAAGTCTCACAGTCCCAGGACTCTCGTGTGAAGCTTGTGCTGTTGGTTGGTTGCACGACAAATAGCCGAAGTCTTCACCAAGGCAGTTGAAGAGGTCAACTGAACACAGGATCGAAGGCGATCGTTGAAAGTACAGGCAACGGACCTGACATCGGAGAAAACAGGATAGGCATCTGAGATAAGCTTGCCTTGTAGAGTTGCCCCCCAAAAGCAACTCTCAAATTCATCTTGGCCCTGCGTGGCCACAGCCAGGGGCGCATGTGCCGACGGAGGCGCACGGCCGTGTGAGTCTCAGTCTTGTCAGAGAACCAAGTGAACAAGCTCCTCATAAAGGAATTAATGACTTTATCTTTTGCAACTAGCGCAGCGGCGAACAGAGGTAACAATCTTCAAGTAGCAAGTTGAGCCTAGCAGCCCTCTATCTTTAGTGCTTCAATCATTTATGCGAGCCGATGGACACGGTCTTCTTGGTCCTTCTACAGTAAGTCTTGGAGGCTGCAAGTATCAGTCGAAAGTCGCAAGAGAATGATACCGAAGTCTTGTCAAACGATAGCGGGCCAACCGGCACTGCAAAGAACGAAGAAATAACAAGACTGGGAGGAATGACTCATGTTGGGAGACCTGAGTTGAGGAAGTGAATGCCACATCGCAACAAGTGGTGAGCAAACTCAATCTCCACATACCCTGCATGAGCTGATTCTAGCACTTTCCCACCTTAAGGTTTTGATCAGTGTTTAGAATTGTTTAGAGCTCTTGGGTGCAGCTGTTTTTGGATGCTAGACTCAAAGGAGAAAACAAACCACTTACTATTTTGAGGTTTCTCGGGGCTACAGTTCCAAATGTCACTGTCAAAAGTGATGACGCTTGACTGAGCTGGCAAGTGAAAGTGAGTATGTGGTTGTCCAGATGCAACTCACTGGAAAAGAACGTCCACGAGGCCTGATTCACGCTTCTAGTGATTCTGGCATTAATGGCCGACGTCATAGAGCTCCAAGACTGAGAGTTCTCAAGGAGCTGCGGAAGTCTTGGACGTTGCAAGGGCAGGTGAACATTGAAAGAACAGTTGCCGTATTAGCTCGCATGCGACAAAATAGCTCAAACAACAGAGTGCACCAAATGCTTGGATATCACTTGGTTCAACTCATTCATGGTGATAGTGATTGCTCTGTAGTGTAAGTTTCATGCATGCCGTGAAGAAGGAGCCTGTGCCTTCAACGTCAAGGAGCCTTTCTCACGCATCGTGAGCGGAAAGCTATTGCAAAGCTATGAAAAGCTCTTCCAGCTGGCCCAGTTGGCAGGAATTGCTGCACACAAACACTGGCATGGCTTGCCTCAACCAGATTGAAGTTTGAACGCGTAAGGGGAACACGCCTCTGGTCTCTAGCCCTGAAAACCTGTTTTTCTGCTGTGCTTGCACCTCCCGACAGCACGAGCAATGTTGCTCGGGTGCCTTAAGTGGCTAGTACGTCATCACAAAGGCACAAAGTTCTGAAAGCAAAAAAGTGGAACGTCCTGCGAGGAAATAGGAATAGGACCGGAGAAGCTTAAGGATTCACCAGGTCTACCACCCCTTGCACTGGCAGGTGCGAGCAGCAAGCTTTGTGGATCCAGTTCAACACTTAGCGGTGCGACTCCTAAACATTTTCATGAGGCCTTTCGGGCAAGCACCTGGCAAAGAATATAGACCTGGGGCCCTACTGTCTTGCTTACACTCCAACTAATCCAATTCAACTTGGTCAGTCTTGTCGCGGCTTCATTGCATGTGGCGACTTGTGCTCGTGCAAACTGCGTGGATGGTCAGCGGTTTGAGATGAAACAGTGGCTTGTTTGAGCTTTATCCCGCAGCTGTGAGGCGCACGCCGTTGTGGGTTCAAGAACAGGCAAGCTGATTTCAAAACTATTCCGATGTGACGGAAGAAAGATACATAATATCATCCATTCCGGAAGCTGCGAAGCGACAACAAGTTGGCCTAGGCTTTGAGCGGTTGAGAAGTATGCACGCCAAGCCACGCTCAAGCTCAACGACCTGAATGACATCAATGTGCCCTCCATGCGCAAAGGTTCGCAGCCGATCTGACATGGAGCAAATGTGGATACATGTGGCACGACATGTTCTTAAACATGTCCCCAAAACCGCCAGCTGCAACACAACTGATCAGTCTCCAAGGTTGAGGCGGCAAGAATGGGAAGGGAGAGGTGGAAGGGACTTGAAAAGGCAGAATGGCATGATCCATAATGCCTTGACTTGATTATCTGCTCACTGCCCACCACACCAGCAGCTGCCAGTTCGTTTGCGAGGCAAACAAGTGGAGTTCACATGAGGCCTCATTTTACATTGCACCTGCAAGGCGGCAAGGAATCGTTGCCATTGCCGTGTTTATCTAGGTGTCATTTGTGACCATAAGTCCACGCTGTGTGCGAAGCGACCATCAGCTGAACTGCACAAAGTCCGGAGGCCGCGCCCTGATTGGAATCACTTCAATCATGCGTTCCCCTCTCCTTCAGCTGTCGGACAATTAGCCTCGGTCTTGACATTTGACAACTGTTATAAGAGGTTCGCAGTGTGAGGGAGCATAAAATTAGCTCATTTCGGCTCCTTTATAAACCGAGTCATCGTTTGAAGCGACACTGAGCGCAACAAGTACCAATGTTTTGAATCTTCGTCAGTTTTCGCTTTTCAGTGCCAAATTGTGGCTTCCTAGCTCATGGAACGACAAAGCACAAAAAGTCTGAAATTGAACTCATTGACCACCAGGCATCACAAGCATCAGCCAAACATTGCATTTCGAGTACTTCCATGCTGCGGAGGCAAAGCCTCCTGCTGATGATTGTCTTCACAACATCACAGGGACAGAAAACAAGTTGTTTAACATGTTTAACTGGAAGGTTCCATCAAAGTGGGATGTTCCATCCCGTCGAGGCTTCCATGGCACCGACCGACCTGCAAAGTATAGCGAATCTACAGCAGCTTGTTTCATAATTACCTGGTTTCTCTGCTCGTTCCGCTTATCAAATGCTTTGGTATACCATTCTGGCAGAATGCAATGACGCACTGACAAATGTATACATATCTGATTTATATAAGTCAAGTCAGTCCCTGGCCCTATTCATTGGATGCGCCTGCGCGCGGTTTGTCCTTGGTGAACCTACTGGAGCTGTTAGACAATGACACACACTGAAAGGCATCATCAGCAAAAGAAACTCACGACCGTCACAACCAAATCTGAAGCCAAAGTCCTCCTGAAGGCCCATGCACTCAAACTTAGAACCCGGCAAAGTACAAAGAACAAATGAAACAACTGCGGGCAATGTGGTTTTGATTCACGTCTTTGCTTTGAGACTTTGGCAGCTTTGGCCACAAGCTAGGGTGAAACGCTTCAAATCACCCGTCAATTGTCGACCGACCAGGAAGGCTCGCCTGTGTTGGTGCGCGGCCCCTCTCTGCCACTCTGCGTAAATTATCCCCTATCCTATGTGCTGGATTGTGCTGGCTGGTTTTAGATGCGATGTCTACTTTGCCGTGAAGAAATCAATAAGCAGAATTGGTTGCGCACAATGCTGGAGAAATACCCACAGCCAACTTGCGTTTTGTGTTGAAAGGAGCCCAAAGATGCTCAAGGCTTGAAGAAGCCTTCTCATTCCAAGCGCCTTGAGGTAGAGGTGACAGGGCAAACCAACAGCATAGAGGCATAGAGTGGTCCTACCCTGCTGGGGCGCATCAAATGGTGCCACAGTGTGGGGCCAAGCTGCGAGGGAGTGTGTTTTGCCCTTGCATTGCGCTTTGTACGTGCACTGCGTGCCCCTTGCTTCAATTACCTTGACTGTCGCGTGCGCACTAGGCTCTACAGTACAGGTTTCTCCTGTTATATATATATATACAAATAGGTCGGCTTTAGCAACTTTTTGGACATATCATGAAATACACCTGAAGCATCAAATTCAGCCCCCCAAAAGGTGTTCAAGGATGGGAAGCGGAACATTTGCCAAAAGAAAGCTGATGAGAGATTACAATTGTTACAAGAATTGATGATGGCACCATATGCATCCTGAATTGCAGGTTGTGGTTGGCTTTTCGTAGTGTTGAATGCCTTTGTTTATGTGGTGGATGTGGTCCCTGGGGCCGTCTTTACTGTCAAAGTGGTGGACAACAGTCGTTGGCCAAAAAATCAAGCAAAACTAAACGCCTGGGGAGAGCAAGCAATGGAAACACAACAAACTTTGCCTTTTAGGCATCGGAGTCTGAATCAACCTTGAACTCTTCAGGCTTGAAGGCTGTCCTCCAAAAGAAGTTTGCGGTTCTAGCTCGGAAGACTGCGAAAGATCCATGTGGCATCACTTATAAAGCACATACCAGCCCGTGAGCCTTCAACGGTGCTCAGCTAAACTGCGAAACTCAGTCCGGCAAAGGTAGTCACAAAAAAGTAGTTCAAACTCGTCATAGGTCAGAAAGCTGTCGCTGTCGGTGTCGTACCTAGGTGCATTTTTTTAGCCTGATGTGGAAGCCAGGGCCTTCCATGTCATCAATTTGAGGTGCTTCAGAGTGCTGCTTGACTTGACGCCTTTTTCAACGGTCGGGCTAATGAATTCCTAGTGGCTTTCTTGTCAACTCCCACACTTCCTGATACGTCGGGACTTTCTCGTCCATGACCTGCAGAATGTATCAGAATGTTGCATTCTGATCTCAATTTCCTGTTCGCACAAACAAAATTCGCCACCTGGCCCAACTCTACATAGAACTGCGAGAACTGGGCAATGCTGATGTAGCCTTCCTTAACATGCACCGCATGAGTTGCTCAAGTCACGCCGGGGCATGCATGCAGGTGAGCAGCTTGCGTCCCATCGATCCTAGGCTTGCAAACGAAGCGCCGGGATTACCTCCTTATAGAAAGCAACCTTAAGAGTTAAACAACCTTCCAAGTTTCAGATTCCACGCATCCCGGCTGAGGGCATCAATGTCGTCTAGCTTGTTCGAAATTAGTTCCAAATTCCTCAGCTCAATGCAATTCAGCAAACATGCTGCAGCACAGCAAAATTACAACGTAACTTGGCCTAGTTACGTTTGTCAGGTGGGTGTTACTTTTGGTGCCATGAGCCCTTGTGCGGGTTGGACTGTTGGGGCTTGGCTCTGTCACCCTTTTCTGGCACTGATATGATTTCTCAAAATGTATAACCTGGAAAATCGCAAGGCTGTTCGCTGTCCAAGATGCTTTGGCCTTTCCCGAAGCGCTGCTCGCACAGCATAAGAAACCTTGCACATTCGCTAATGTCGAAGTACAGGAATACTTTTGGTGTGGCCTCCTGCTTGTCAATATTGCCATCGCCATCTTGATCAAATGCACCGACTTCGCACGGAAATTCGAAACCTGAGAGATCCGACATCGGGAACTGGGACTCCGTGAAACCATCTGCGAATGTCGGCTGTATTCATTTCTTTTGCTGGGGCGTCCAATGGGTTTGCCCGAAGCGAAATAGGAGATGGGTCTAGGCAAACAGTGATTCTTTGGGGAACTGCAATAATATCATCAACCAAACTAATTTGGCGAATGAACTAACCGAAAGGTGTCCTGTGGCTGACGTTGTAGCAAGCAAACGGTTGGTAAAGTAAGGGTTGGTAACCGCTAGCCACAGAAACCCTGACGCAGCCCCTTGGCCTTTCACCAACCTTCGGGGCTGTCATGTTACAAACAACAAGTCGAACAAACGTGAAGATGGTGAGGGTTGGCCCTTCAAAATGACCCCGCAGAAAACTCAGCCAACTAAGTTGCGATTTTCACTAAATAACCACAAAAACAGTTTGGTTGCGCCAGTTTTGAAGTACCAGTATCAGCCCACAAGTCCTCAAAAGTGGCAGGGTGGTGGTCGAAACGAAACAGTTTTAAAAGTTGGTGGTGGATCTAAAGTCCTTCTTAAGTGCTCGGTAGCGCAAGCTTGCACACCGTTTCAAGCACTGGTTGGTCTGTGGTTCAGCCTCTTCAGGCGACCTTTCCCCCCAACCAGCAAAGCTTGCTACGTGTACTGCATGTATTGATCCACCGTGGTCTCGCCAACACATCTCCGGAGTCATGGAGATACCTCTGCACCGCTGAACTCGACCATCGCCCGGTGCGCTTGACCAGCTCGACCTCCCCGGTGGCCTGGTCAAGGGCCGAAGCTTCCCCAATGCGCAAGGCTTTGGCGCTCTTCTGGAGGATGTTCTGCACTTCCAAGCGCTTCAGCATCGGGCCTGGCGCCCAACGAGACAAAGGAAGGTGGCGCTCTGGTCCATTGCCGAACCTGGGCGGTGCCACTTCCTTGAACTGCTGCATCGACTCGACGACGCACACGAACTCCTGGCCGGTCCGAAGCATCGTCTTGCAGGTAGCGAAAGCCACTTGATCCGCTTTTGTCTTGCAGAACTGCAGGGTGATCTCTTGCGGGTTCACCTCGTCCGCCCCCCTTTGTAGTCAGCGCCACGTCCATGCCGCGAACCTGGTCAATGCCGTTGGAGTCCGCAAACTCTCGCGCCCTGAGCATGAAGAACCAATGCAGCATCCTGCAATCGACCTTGAGGTCACCATATGCTGCGCTCCCGCCCTGTAGGTGCTTGCCGATCCACTTCAGCATGGCTGGGAACGGTCACCAAGCCTTGTCGGTTTCTTCAGTGTCTGGCGCTCCATGGAGTTCAACACGATCCAGAGCCGGTGCATACGGTTGGTCAGGTCACCGTGTCCTGCTCTCTTGCGCGCGTCCTTGATTGCGAAGACCGCCTGCTTCATCGTGGCCACTGAGGTTCCAAGCCATCCCAGGTAGTCGAGGTAGCCGAGCATCTTGTTCAGAGGAGGTCGCCATTGTAGTCAAGGCAGGGAGATGCCCAACCTTGCCTTCGTCCCCAATCGCGGCCCCAAGTTAACGAACTTGCCCCCGACCTCGACCGGCTTCTTCTCCTTGACTCTGCGGCCTCCACATCGACAAGCATCTTCGACCTCGATGCTTGGAGCCATAGATCCTCACCCCAAAACCAGACAGCTCGATCCCCTTCGCCCCCGGCTCGCCTGTCTCGGGCTCCTGCGGAACTCACCCCTCCTCCATCGCCTCAACCACGTGAGAAGGGCGCCCAGGGACTTGAGGTCCTCCTTCCTGGTCGATGCGCGTGCCGGCTTTGGAGTTCTTGTCCTCGACCTTCGCCAGCTCAGCTGCGGCCCCCAGCAGGCTCAACGCGGTCCTGCGACCAGTGGCCTGGCACCCTTCCTTGCAAGCTGTGCGGTCACCCATCTCCTCGACCTTTTGGGGCCACATCCGCACCACCTTCATCCAGCAGCGCCCATCGACCTGGTCCTCCCAGTCGATACACTCCTTCCTCCTCTAGCCACACATGCCCTGCCACCCCGGGCAACATCACATCATGGCCTGGGTTGGATGCTTGTTCATAGCGCGCGAAGTCGACCAAGTCCCACGGCTTCGCTGGTCCGAGGTACGAACCAAGGGAAGGAGGAGAAACGGTCTTCACCAGGAAACCCTCAATCTGATCCTTGTCATCATAGTCGCTCTGATGCAGGAACACTGCACCACCCACCTATCCACTAAAGCTTTGGAAAGGTGATGTCGCTGTGCCATGTGGTTTTGGAAACTTAGACAATCATGCAAAAAACACATTCAATCAGCTGCTCAGCTGCAGAACGAAGAACATAGAACATGCACCACGACCATCCACACATGAAAAGGTATACATATATAAATATTTTATTTATTTATATATATATATAAACTGCAGATTTCCTGGCAGGCGCAGCGCTTTGTGAAGCTTGAAGTGCAGATTTTGTGCGGAAACCTGGGAAGAGCTTCAAAACCGAAAAGTCGCCCAGGAAGATTTTAAAACCTCCAGATCAAAGGGTTCTTCCTTTTCCCTTTACAAAAACTCTTTTAAAATAGTGATTCTTCATTAGACTAACCACTAAAGCTTTGGAAAGGTGATGTCGCTGTGCCATGTGGTTTTGTGCCATGTTGATGATATATGATAAAATGTTCTATGTTACGTGTTGACATGCAGACTCGGCCGAGTTATGTGACGTGTTCTGATTATATACTATCCTGGTATCATGAGAAAACTTTGCGCATTCATGGTTGATATATATATATATAAATCTCTCTCTCTCTCACCTCGCTGTTTCTAAGTTCCTTGTTCAGCAGGGTATGTTGGTTTTTTCGTTGACTATACACATAATTTGTGACGTTTTAAGTTCCCAATTTTGGGATGTTCTAAGTTCAATGTTCTGAAAATGTTCTAAGCGCACGTCAAAAAACTGACATTCCCAAGCCATGTTCTAACTTTCACTAAAACGTTATAAACTTAAATTTGTTTTCGTTCATCCCTTTCCAGGAAAGAATCAGGGCGCGCAAGAAGAAGGTCCGAGGATTCAACTACTCTCAGCATTTGGAGCTTTCCCTGTTCTCGGACAAGACTTTGAGTGTGGCGCTGCCGGAGAAGCCACGCCAAGTCTACTCAGGTTGGTCATCTGGAGATTGCATTGGCTTCGTCACTGCGCTGCCCGCCCAGCTGTGGAAGTTGAGCAGGACACGAGCGCGCGACTAATAAACTGTTAATTATTTTTTAGAAATAAGTTGCCAAACGGTCCTCGCTCCCTCACTCCCCGGCAGGAAAGACAAGGTGGAGATGCTGAGTGCCAAAAGGACGATCTCAGTGGATGGCACCAAGGACGAGGATCAAGAGACGTGCTTCAGCTGCAGTGTGGCGCCCTCGGAGCTCTACATTGAAATGATTCATTCCTACTGCGGCGCCTGCGCGATCTCCGCAGAGATTTGCGCTGGACAGAGCAGAACGCAATCTCACCTGCATTTCGCGCCCTCGACGCGCGCGATCTCCGCAGAGGGTTGCGTCGGACACAGACAAAACGCGCTCTCGCCTGCATTTCGCGCCCGCGACACGCGCGATCTCCGCAGAGGGTTGCGTTTCGTGGTGCTCCGGCGGCACCGCCCCCGGCCTTAAGAGAGAAAGTAAGGAAGAGCGAGAGGTGAAGATGTGAAATGTGCAGATGTGAGGATGTGAAGATGAGCTGAGATGTAGATGTTCAGATGTGAAGATGAGAAAATGTAGATGCGCAGTGATGATGTAGATGTGAGGATGTGAAGATGAGAAAATGTAGATGTGCAGATGTGAGCCTGTGAAGATGTGAAGATGAGCAGAGATATAGATGAAAATGTAGATATGCAGAGGTGAAGATGTGAAGATGTAGATGAGACGTAGTTCTGCAGATGTTTTTTACGAAGAACCCTTCGCAGGCGCTCTCGGGAAAAAAAGCAATCATCAAACCCAACGTCAATCACATAAGCAGAAGCGGTAGGAAGCACTTGCACAGGTGAACGTTCTTTATCTGCTGAGGGGCTCCTTATCGACTACACACAGTAGGCGCGGGCACCAAGAAAGTACGGTCCGCGATGTGAATGCTTGTTCAACCCCGTGAATCTGTAAAATCGATGTTTCTATATGATATGCAATACGCAAAGCGACAACGGCGCCCCGTCCCAACTCCCTTGTAATACCCACCAGCTGCTGCGAAACCTCTGTCTTCTAGTTTGCCTAAGTGCACGACGAAAGCGGCAAGCGCTCGTGCCAAGCAAAACGCGTTCTCTATCTTCTCAGTCCTCGGCTTACCATTGACTTGGCTTCGCTCATGTCCAAAGCTTGGCTGCCGTCCACATCAACTTTGCCGAAAAGGTCATCTATCTCTTCCTGGCAGGTGGGTGCGTGGCTATGCATCCCCTCGCAATGCGTCCCCTCGCTATTTGCGCTATTTCTGGCCTGGATCAGGGCATCCAACTTGGTATTGCAATTCTGCAAGGAGATCTTGAACCTCTGCAGTTCTGCCTTTCAAAGTAGCATGCTCGGAAACATGAACACCTGAAACAAAGGCTGCAAATTGGAATTGTCGCCGCGTATGCCTGCCTCGCCTTGGCTTTAGTAGATCGACCGCAGCACATTGTCTCCAAACCATTTCCCATTACAAAGCCACATGCAAGTTTGTTCAACAATCATGACAATTTGAGGCGCGATTTGTGTTCCAAATGCCACATGGTCGACCACTGCCAAAAAAATATGACTTTGTGACTAAAAAGGTGGCGTGTTAGCGTGTTCACCTGGCATGGCCTGGCGTGCATTCCTGGAGCCCGTGCAGTATGTACGCGAGAACGGGAAAGATAGAAGGTAGGAAACAATATTTTCAAATAGAAGAAACTGACAACGTCCGGAGAATCTCCGTGGACGGCTTTTTTCCGATTTCGGGCACATCAAATAGATACTGCCCAGCAAAGAGAGTTCAATCAGAAGAAAATGACAACTAATTTCAATTAGAAGAAACTCTTCTGTTGTGGAATAAATTAGTTGTATAAATATCCCTTTTGAAATCATGCTGGAAAGCGTTCCAGGGACATTTCAAATAGAAGTAGAAATTCAATACCAGCGATTTCCAGCATGCTGTCAAACAGAAGGTATGCATCAGCAACGCCAGCCCGCCAATTTTGGGTCAAGTGAGATGGCTGGCCTGGCATGGGAAATTTCACCTTTGAGGCACAGATGGGATGCTAGAGAAACAAAGGGACGCTAGTAGGTTGGAGGCCGTCGCTCTTAGGTTGGAGGCCATCGTTACTAGCTACTA